ATGATACAACCTTGCTTGCTGAAAGTGAAGATGACTTGAAGCACTTACTGATGAAGGTTAAAGACTACAGTCAGCAGTGTGGATTACACCTCAACGTAAAGAAAATGAAAATCTTCACAAATGGACCAATAAACAGCATCGTGATAAGTGGAGAGAAGATTGAGGATGTCAAAGATTTCATATTACTTAGTTCCACAATAACACCAATGGAAGCAACAGTTAAGAAATCAGAAGACATTGCACAGGCAAATCTGCTGCAAAAGACCTCTTTACAGTGCTGAAGAGCAAAGATGTCTCTTTGAAGATTGAGGTGTGCCTAATGCAAGCCGTAGTGTTTTCAATCTCTTCATATAAAAGGTGGACAATGAATAAGGAAGACCAAAGAATAGTTGATGCTTTTGAGTTGTGGTGTTGGCGAAGAATGCTGAAAGTACCATGGACTGCTAGGAAAACTGACAGCTGTGTCCTGGACGAAGTGCAGCTGGAATGATCCTTGGAAGCAAGAATGGCCACACTTCATCTCACCTACTTTGGTCATGTTCTCACAAGGGACCATTCCCTGGAGAAGGATATCATGCTTGGTAAAGTGGAAGGTCAACAAAAATGGGGAAGGCCCTCAACAAGACGGATTGATACGGTCACTGCAATGATGGGTTTAGGTATCGCAAGGATTGTGAGGCTGGTGCAGAACTGGGCAGTGTTTTGTTCTGTTGTACGTAGGGTCGCTATGAGTCAGAGCCAACTCAATGGCACCTAACAACAAGTGTATCACATTTACTTTTTCTTCTTTGGAGCTCTGGTAGCATAATGCCTAAGGCACTTGACTGCTAACCAGAAGGCTGGTGGTTCAAACCCACCAGCCACTCCTCAGAAGGAAGGTTGGCAATCTACTTCTGTAATGATACTGCCTTGGCAACCCAAGGAGGGGTCGCTATGAGTTGGGTCTGACTCGATGGCACATGACAACAACAACAGCAGTGATTTCTCTAATGTTTAAACCCAATACCAATTTCTGCTTCTGTCATTTGAATGAAAGTTCACTTTTCTTTTTGGTTGTCTGGAATAGAGTTTTATAAGTTACAAATATAAGCAGTTGTTTTGCTTATAGGGCTGCTCCTCAGAGTTCAGAGTTTCTTTATAGATTCTCCCAATCTTTTTTCATCTAACAAGCATCTTTCCAAATTTAATTGCATATGATTTCTATGCTGCTTTTCTGTGTGTTTCATACCCTGCTGTTTGCAGGTTAGAACACTATAATCTATTTTTAGTCTATTTGTCACCTGTTCTATTACTGTCAGTTATTACTGTTTATCAAATCCATCTGTGTTTGGGGTTTGCTATTCTGATGTTTTCTCTCTTTCATTCACTACTGCTGTTGTTAGTCGCTCTTGAGTCAGCTCTGACTCATGGTGATGTCGTGTACAAGAGAACAAAATGTTGTCCAGTCCTGTGCCATCTTCACAGTCATTGGTATGCTTCAGTCTATTGTTGTGGCCATAATGTATTTTGAGTGCCTGCCAAGCTAGGGGGCTAATCTTCCAGCACTGTATCAGGTAATACTCTATTATGATCTGTAAGTTCTTCTCTGGCTGATTTTCAGAAACAGATCACCAGGCCTTTCTTCCTAGTCTGTCATAGCCTGAAAGCTCCACTGAAACCTGTCCACCATGGGTGACCTTTCTGATATTTAAAATACTGGTGGCTCAATCACTGGCTAGCTACGTAACTTTGAGTAAGTTACTTAAAATTTGTGGGCCTCTTCTGTAAAAAGGCAAAGATAATAGTTCCTACCTTTAGAGTTGTGAGGATTAAATGAGTGAATGTGTGTAAGATGCATAAAACAGTGTTTGGCACTATGTATATAAATACTAGCCATTGTCACAGATGTTATAGGTAGGGGTGCCCACCTCTAGTGTCTTTCAACTATTTCTAAACAACTAACTGAAAAATTAAATAAACAATGTGACTGACCACAGTCCATTAATCAAAACAGAAGCTTAACATGAGAAGTACAATTATTTATTTAACACTTCTAAATGAGGGCTACTATTTTCCAAAGTTTAGCATTAAATTTCCATGTAATCACAGTAATAATATGAAATGGTAAAAATATGGTTTGAAGTCTCACAGAGTGTTCTAGACTAAGGATCTGAACAATCACTATATGGACTAAAAAGAAAAACATTCAAAATGCCCACAGGTATCTGAAAATATTTCCAACTTCTCTGTTAATAAAAAAATGCAAATTCAAATCACAATAAGGTGATCAATTGTAGCTATTATATTAATAAAAATGAATGGTGATGGTAACAGATAAAGGAGAGGATGGAGTGAAACACATTCATGCACTGCTGGTGGAGTGTAAATAGGTACAGACTTTAATTTGAAAGTGGTGTGTGTAAAGACATTTTAAATTTCCATGTTCAATGAATTAGTAATTCCGTATTTAGGAAACTACTCTAAAGAAATGAAAATTGGGGTGCCAATTGCAAAGATGTTCACAGCACTCTACGTAATGATGAAGAATTAAAAATTGTCTAATAAGCATTTGGGGGCTTCTACGATAAAAATTGTGAGATTTATTAATAAATAATGGCATGACCCTATGATAGATTTTGCTTGAGGGAAAGGAATTTTAAGTGCCATTAAAATGGTATTTAATTAGAAAATAAAACATATCATTGCGTATATACTTTATCTTAACTGAAAAATCCAGATAAAAATGTTTAAAGTAGGAAAAAATATAAAGGAAATATGATTTGTATATTAGCAGTGTTTGTTTTTTATCTAGCAGATTATGGGTAACTTGTTTTCACCTGCTTTTTCAAATAATACTTTTCTCTATTTTAATATATTTTAGAAAGAGTAAATCTGCTTGTAACTGGATGAGAGGAAGAAGGAATTTGACAGACATTGGTAGAATTTTGGAAATACGGAGAAGAATAAGCAGTGAAATTAACAGCCTAGGAGAAGGGTGAACCAGTCCTGTTCCCCAATCTGCCACAACTCAATAGATGGCCTAAGATAGGCACTAACCTTTGCCAGGAGGTAGAACATACTTTAAAAGTATAAAGTGCTGCATTAAAGTAAAGTATTATAGTAGAATTTTTAGATTGAATACCTAATACATGTTTCTGGCAGTATTTTATTATTTTCTGTGACAAGTTAAATAAACAAAACAAAACAAAACAAAAGAAAAACAAACTCACTGCCTTTGAGTTGAATCTGACTCATAGCCACCCCTCCTTGGGTTTCCGAGGTGGTATCACTACAGAGTAGATCTTCTGATCTTCCTTCTGAGGAGTGGCTGGTGGGTTTGAACCACCAGCCTTCTGGTTAGCAGTCAAATGCCTTAGGCACTACGCCACCAGAAATACACAAAGGAAAAATTATATATATTTCCAAGCTCTTTTGGGCATTAATAAATGAAACATCAGAGCCTTTCTGACTAAGACTAGCTGTCTGAACTGTCAGATGACAGGCATCTGCATTTAGGGCAAAGACTATGAGAAAAAGAAAAAAACAAACCCATTGCCATCTAGTCAATCCTGACTCATAATGACCATATTGAACAGAGTAGAACTGCCCCATATGGTTTCTAAGGCTGTAAATCTTTATGGAAGCAGACTGCCACTTCTTTCTCCCATGGAGTGATTGGTGAGTTTGAACTACCAAAAGGTTAGCAGCTGAGCACTTTAACCACTGGATCACCAGGGCTCCCAAAAAGTCTTCTCATATAGGTGGTTCATTCAGATCATAGAAGCCAGAGAGCTAATTGGATAAGTACTGGATTATAATAATAATAACTATTATTATAATGGCATTGCTTTAACTATTTGGATCTGTCATGGTTTCAGAAATAATAAAAGTGCAAAATCGCTAGCAACAGCTTCGAATGAAGGAACCTAACAAAATCAACAAATTCTTATAAGGAAATATTAATTCTTAGGAGGACTCAAAGTACTTTTTATAAACTAAGTTTGTTGTCAACTTTGTATTTAGCCTAATGATTATTTTCTAGAGGCTAAAGAAGAATTTTGAGAGGCTGAGCCTCATGATTAGGTCAGAATGCCATCATAGTGAAAACTTTAATCAGCTTTACTGTCTCCTTTCAGTCTAGGGTTCTATCTGCAGCTTCCACAAGGGGCAGGGATTTTCACCCTCATCATTCGTAAATGATGCCCCTGGGAGACAATATGGAAAAAGATCATGTCCCTTTGGGGTTGTTCACTGTGACTGTGGCAAAAGGATTTTTCCAGTTACCCACCCTGATGGAATTTGTGGTTACTTAGTAGCCTGGATGCCAACATGATAAAGTATAAAATATTGAATTTCACATGTCTATGTGATTTTAGCTTTGATCTTAGTTTTTGATTTTGCAATTAATCATATCCATGTCTGTCTGAGCCTGGTGCTTCAGGGGTAAATACAGAAAAAAAAAAAAAAAAAAAACCCAAACTCATTGCCATCGAGCCAATTCAGACTCATAGCAACCTATAGGATAGAGTAGAACTGCCTCACAGGGTTTCCAAGGTTTCTGTAATCTTACAGATGCAGACTCTCACAGAGTGGCTAGTGTGTTTGAACCACTGACCTTTGAGTTAGCAGCTAAGCACTTTAACCACTGTGCCACCAGAGCTCCTTAGGGGCAGGTACTTTCTCATTGTTTTGTTGTTGTTGTTGTTATGTGCCGTTGAGTCGGACCCGACTCATAGCGACCCCCCCTTGGGTTTCCGAGGCAGTATCACTACAGAAGTAGATTGCCCAACCTTCCTTCTGAGGAGTGGCTGGTGGGTTTGAACCTCCAGCCTTCTGGTTAGCAGTCAAGTGCCTTTAGACACTACGCTACCAGAGCTCCTTCTCATTGTTTTAGACCTAAATATTTTATCCAATTTAAAAGGAATTCACAGTGTGAAACTTTAGCCCAGAAAAACCGCCATCCACTCTGCCAACAAAGCAGTACATTGAATAAATTGAGTTTCTATTTGATGATATTTTAGGAGTTTGAAGAAGATGACAACTGTAATCATTCTATACCGGTTGGTGAAGGAGATCCAAGTGGTGATGCACAAGACTGGCTCCCCAGGGCAGAAGGTACCAGACTACTAACCTTGATGTGTTAACAAAGATAACATTGTTTTTTTGGATTTCCTTTCTCTTCAGAAGTGCTCAGTGCAGAACCTTGAAAACACAGTAAAGCACAAAGAAAAATAAGAACATTCACAATCCTATCTCTTGGCTCATAGTTGAGTTAGTGAGTCTTGGTAACTTTTTCTGTCCTTGCTCCTGTTAAAACAGACACTGCTCTTCTGTCTTTCTATTTTATTTGTTTTTTTGTTTTGTCACTCCAGCTCAGCCAGTCATTCTCTGTTCCTTTCCATGTTGTCTGACAACTTTTTTTCCCCTGTCTTTCCTCTCAGGATCTTCCATCAACTCCAGGGATCTGTTCCCTTCCACCAAGAAATTCTTCATTAGCTATTGTCCATTGTCCCCATTAACGCCTCCCTTGAAGGGAAACTGAGTTTGAGGGGTAGTACACTAGACTCTCAAGTTTCAGTCTTTTGTTTGAAAAGCCTTAAGTCTGGAATTTTCTGGAACAACACCCACTTTAAATTTGTTATCCCGTGTGGTGGTTATGTTGTGTGTCAACTTGGCTAGGCCTGGTTGAGAGGCTGGGCAGCTGGATGTAGTATTCCCCATGATGAGACTGGTAATCAACTTCATGGTGGAATCTACTGTGAGCAACTGAGTAGCTGCCTTTGGTTATGTGGTTTACTTCCTGTATATAAGGAGAATGGTCTCTAGCCTTTGGCACTCTTGGACCCTGCATTTAGCCATGTCGTTGCTCAGCAGCTTGCTGTGCTCTGCTGACATTGGGACTTACAGTGGACTTAAGTTAATGGCCTGCCGTGTGGATTGGTAACATGGGACTGTGCCTTTTTATTTATCAACCTTGGGGCTTCTCAGCCTCAGCAGCCAGCAGCTGTCTGAGTGAAGAAATGCCTCTAGCCCCAGTGGGCCGGGAGCAGGAGGCAGAGCTGGACCCCAAGGTTGAGGGGCTTTCACCCAGTCCCTAGAGCCTGGCACTTTGAACTTGGACTTAAAGCCTCCAAATTGTAAGAATAAACTCCTGTTTGTTAAGGCCATCCTACTTGTGGTATATTTTCTGTTAGAGCGGCACTAGGTAACCAGAATATCCTGTCACACCCATAAAATACCTTTGTATTTAACAGATCACAAGAAATTTGCAGATTTTCACTGCAGAAAACAGAAATTACAGCTATCATATTTGTCTATCACTTGTTTACCTATAAACTTTTAAAATTATTTATTCAAAGTGCTCCAATTTCTCTCTGGCAATTTTATAACTTCCCTTTCTAACACTCCTGGAAGCTGCCCTCTTACATGCCTTTGTTTTTCTCATTTCTTTGAACTTTCTTGTACACTGTGGTCCTTTCCCTGCCTTTTACTCTTTGAGTGATGCTGCTCTGTCTGGGGGAATCTCTTGCCTTTCTCAGACTCACTCAGAATCTCCTTCCCTCAGGCTGAGAATAATTAAGTTATATTTAAAATTATTAACACCATTAGCCCTGAAGGGAACTAATAAAAGACAGATCCTGGTCCTCGTAGAAACAGTTGTGGTCCTCCCTTGACTTTCACAATCTTCAAACCTGAATTCTCAGACATCTCCTTTGGGAAAGTACCTCCTGAGAGGTTAAGTGTTTTGTTTATTGTGCTCCACTTGGAGGTGATTTCTGTTGGAATTACTTAAAAAGTTATTCTTTTTAAGGTGATTTGTAACATTATAGGTTTTCATATAGAAGCTGTAACATTTATACCTATCTCTAAAAAGTTCCTTGCAGTTTTAAGTTTTAATAGCTTGGGTTATAAATTTGAAAGCAACAACTATTTTTCGGATGAATTTTCTTCTCACAGTTTAGATAGAGACTTCAATTGCTAGCTATTCTTTTTAGTCATTGCAAAAACGACAAGGAGGCCACATGTTCTGACCTCCTCTAATCTCACAAGAGGAAGACAGGATTACCAGCAGTAACCCAAGGCCTATTACTGCCAGGCCAGACATGTTGCCTCCCTCCAGTCCTTTCTCCAACCGTTCCTCCCAGAGCGCCCACCACCTCTTTCCTGGGTTCGATAATTCACTGCAGTGGCCACACAGAACTCACAGATTACAAGGTTTATTAGGGAAGCACCAAGCTACAATTTAAGTTCCGGAAGAACACTCAGTCTCTCTCCCAGCCCAACGTCCCTCAGCCAACAGTCTCTCACAGTCTCTTTCCCAGCAGTGCTGGTCCCTCGGTGTCTCACTCAGCAATGTGTATCTCTCGTGTCTCTTTCCCAGCAGCACGTGTCTCTTTCAGGGGCGCGTGTCTCTTTCAGCAGCACGTCTTCCTCCACCAGCAGTCAGAGAGAGAGTTCTGCCTCCAGGAGGCCTCCTTTTGAGCCCGCAGGGTGGTCAAACTAGCCAATTATAGCATCAGAACTCTAAGCACTGAGAGAGAGTGGGCACCTCCCAGAACATTGTTTTGTGCCACTCCCAACAGAAATACTCCAGGTGGACACCTCAGTTGCTCATAGCAAATCCCACCTTGGAGTTTACAAAAACTTATGGGTAGAAAAGCCACACCACACAAAGTAATTTACTACACTGCAGTCATTAAGTCTGAAATAAAAATGTTTTGAGCACCATTGTTCATTGTATTTATCTTAAATATCAATAACTGTCTTTAAATTCCTTTTACCTCTCCTTTCTAAGTTATTTTAAGTTATTAGTGTTTAATCATTTAATTTGTATCTATTTGTCCATAATGTAAGTCTATTAAAAAGAAGCATCACTAACTAAAAATATGTATACTCCACAATGTTTGGATCACTCCCATAGGCCTTAATAGTCTTTATGGAGAGCTTAAGTATTCTTGCAGCAAGTGTTTGCTTCATGGGCTTTGCAGATAAAAATGGGAAAATACAATCTGTAGATAAAAAACTTTTGCATTCTTTTTCTTAGTGGAAAAAATCTTGCATTCTTCAATCATCTATTTTCTCAAAACATAACAAATGTGAAACGTGTAGACTAGAAATAGAGCATATAAAATTACTCTTTATGAGTAAATAAGAACCCATTTCTTGAAATTATTCAGCTCTATTGTTTTTCTTTGATATCGATATATATCCATTAGGATTCTTAGTAGAAGTAACAGAATTTACTGTGAGTTAAAAAGCAAGCAATTTTTTACAAAGCTATGATAAAATTTATAGGCTAATAAAGAACCATAAGGGAGGAACAGACTCTAGGTTGAATTTTCAGAAGGAATTCTCATAACTCTATTTCAAAGCTGCCTATGGCTGACCCTCAACTCATGCTGCCTCAGCCACAGTCATGGAGCTGCCCCACCCTCAACCTTAGCACTCCTCCCTCTTCTGACACCCACACCAACAAAAATAGATACCTGTACTCTGTTTTCATGTTACTCACATGAATCAGTCTCTTGAGCTAGCTGTCTGTACTGTAACGGAGGCAGGAAAATGTACTTTTAAAAAATTCTACATTGGGACGATGAGATTTGCAAATTAGGAAACTACCAAAATGTGGAGAGAGTATGAAAATAGTTTGAATTTCAGTGCCCACAACCTGGGGACATATACCTGTCAGTCTGAACAGAACAAGGGAAAAATGGAGGAAAGGAAGACTTTTCTGGAGAAAATAATTTTTCTTCATTGAATGTGAGGATGGGCCATATTTAAAATTTTTGTTTTAATAATAGCTAACATTAATCACAAATTAATGATCATTTTCTGATTTTTTGTGAATATCATTTTCACCTCTTCTATGAAGAAAATAGGCTTCTGTAGTGGAACCACTGCGGCTGTGGCCCCTAGCTGCCCTTCAGGTCTAGAATTGAACCCACACCTCTGGCTTCCAGCCAGACAGAAGACAGTCATATGAGTTGAACATTTACCTGAGGAAGATAGTCCTTGGAGAGAACAATCGTGGGAAAAAGAAGGGCTATATATGCACAGTGAGACAGCTCAGGGGGCAGGAGTCCATGGAGGGATGGACATAGGGAAGAGGTGACCACTGGGAGAAAGTGGGAGGGGAGCTGTTGCATTGGGGTAAATTGCAGTCAATGTCATGAGACAAAGTGTATGTAAACTGCTGTATGAGAAGTGCATTTACTCTGTAAATTTTCACCCAAATCACAATTAAAAAAAAAAAAAAAAGAAAGAAAGAAAGAAAGAAAATAGGCTTCTGGCTATGTTTAAATTTTGCCTTTTATTTCCTTTCTACTATCACATTTTCTGCCAGGGTTAATGTACACCTTCTTACATGGAAAAATGCATTCAGACAGGAACAAGTTTCATTTTTACATGAGATAACGCATCATCTTGCCTCCCACTGGGTAATTCAGAAGCCTCAGCCACTGCTCTAGCCCCATGCACAGCATCCATGGGATAGAACAAAGCAAACATGAGTATGTTCCCAGCTGGTATCAGAGTCAGTATGTTCTGTAGTCTTTTTTTTTTTTCCCCATTTAGGACCAGTGGTTAGGATGGCAGCCACCAGCTTTGAACAATTTCTAAAAAGGCTGGGTTTTTTGTTTTTTTAAAAAATATTTGCTCACTGTATCTTTGTTCTTTGCTTTTAAAAAGAAATTAACAGGCTTTTAAAAACATAAAATTTACTTGAAAACATTCTGGGCTTATTAATTCTCAATAGTTGTAAAGTGTGGTTATGCTTAAGAATGTGTCCTTGTGAAAACACCTTACTAAGAGAGAGAGAGAGAAACAAATTTACTGCAAGGAAAGGGCTCACGTCATTTAGGTTGCTGACAAATCCCTAATCCATAGGTCAGATAATAGGCTAGAGACTCCTGTGGGCTCAAGTCCTAAAATCTGTAGGTCAGGTGATAGGAAGAGTGAAGGGTGAAGGAAGTTCTGCAAAAATGTCTATTTTATATTTTAGAGACAGAATCACTATAGGGAAACTCCTTCTTTGCTTATAAAGTCTTCACCTGATTAGTTAGTGCCTAAAGGCACTTGACTGCTAACCAGAAGACTGGCGGTTCAAACCCACCAGC